GCGGCACGGCTCGGCGGGCGGTAGGTTTGCAGATCGACCCGCTCGAGAGCCCTGCGCGCTGCGGCGAGGCGTGGACGCCCCGCCCCGCAGTCGAACAGCACCGAAAGCACCGAGACCACACACACACAAATACACACATCCCAAGAAGTTTCCAACATTTTCTAGGTTTTTGTCTTCCCTCCCACTTCTGATATTTTCTCATATTTTCCTGGGAATCGACGATTAATTGTGTGCGTGTGTTTTCCCCTCCTGAGAAGGATGAATATAGGAGAAGGAGAGAAGAAAGCAATCAAGGAAGGAGGAGAGCGGCGGGGGAGAATGAGGAGGAAAAGGGCGAAGGCGGAGGAGGAGGAGGAGGAAGAGGAGGAGGAGAACGGGGAGGAGGAGAACACCACATGGAAAGAGGAGGAGAAGGAGGATGAGGAGGAGGAGAAGGGGGAGGAGGAGAAGCATGGGAAGAAACCACCGAGTCAGGGCCGCTCGGGGCAGCGGCGACGGCCCGCCCAGAGCCGTGAGGCCTGCGCGCGTGCGAGCGCGGCCGCGAGCGCGAGCGCGAGCACGAGCGCGGCCGCCGGTCACGGCGCCGAGACCGCGATCGCGGCCGGTCGCCGCGCCCAGAGCGCGACCGCCGGTCCCCGCCGTGCCGCGGCCGAGCCATGGCGGCCGCCCCGGCGCCGGAGAGGCCCGAGCCCAGAGGGGGGCAGGGGAAGGAAGAGGGGGAGGCAGAGGATGATGATGATGATGATGATGATGATGATGATGATGATGATGATGATGATGATGATGATGATGATGATGATGATGAGGAGGAGGAGGAGGAGGAGGAGGAGGAGGAGGAGGAGAGGAGGAGGAGGAGGCGGGGACGCCGGCGATCTGGCTCGGGAGGAGGAGATGGAGATGGAGGAGGAGGAGGAGAGGAGGAGGAGAGGAGGAGGAGGAGGAGGAGGAGGAGGAGGAGGAGGGAGGAAGGAGGAGAGGAGGAGGAGGAAGGGGGAGGAGGGGAGAGGAGGAGGGGGAGGAGGGGGAGGAGGGGGAGGGAGGAGGAGGAGGAGGAGGAGGAGGAGGAGGAGGAGGAGGGAGGAGGAGGAGGAGGAGGAGGGGAGGAGGGGGAGGGGAGGAGGAGGAGGAGGGGAGGAGGGGGAGGAGGGGGAGAGGAGGAGGAGGAGGAGGAGGAGGAGGAGGAGGAGGAGGAGAGGAGGAGGAGGAGGAGGAGGAGGAGGAGGAGGAGACGGGAGGAGGAGGAGGGGGAGGGGGAGTGGGAGGAGCAGAAGGAGCAGGAGGAGGGAGGAGGAGGAGGAGGAGGAGGAGGAGGAGGAGGAGGAGGAGGAGGAGGGGAGTGGGAGGAGGAGGACGAGGCATCCCGACGAGCGAGGCCTCTCAGCCAGCGCGCCCAGGGGAGGAAGCGAACAGGGCAGGGCTGCTCCGTAGACGTCCAGGGCCGCTTCGTAAGCGCCAAGTGTCGGGGTCTGGGTGGTTTTTCCTCCCTTGCTTCGAGGGCTTCGGGTGGGCACCCCGCCTCTGTCTGTGCCAGCGCTGCTGCTGCGTGAGCCAAGGTGGCCATGGAATCATGCTGCAGGGCTGGACCTAAGCAGAGGGGCAACGATATGGGGGGATAGGCATAGGGGGGGAATGCATCGACCTGGAATCGGCGATACATTGCCAATAGATCGGCGATAGGCCTCCGATAGCAAATCCGCACCTTCCTGGGCCAGTTGGGGCCACCGGCCCCTATCGCGGCGATCAATCGGCGATTGGGTGTCGATGCATCCCCCCCTATGCCTATCCCCCCCCTATCGTTGCCCCCGATAAACGTTGCTATTCGTTTTGCTTTCGTTTTGTTGTTCGTTTTGCTCTGCCTGCCTGCTTTCCTGTACCTCCCCCCCAAAGGAAAAAGAAAGCACTGCCGAAGCCCTTAGGTCCAGCCCTATTCTGTTGTGGGGCCTTGTTTGGGTCCAGCCCTGTCCTGTTGTGGGGCCTTGGTTTGGGTCTCCAGGAGGAACCTCGTCGCCACGGTCGGGCGTCCCTCGCGGTTCCTGCCGGGACGCACCCCAGGACTGGACCGAAGACCGATCTGTCCCCAACCAGGCTTGCCCAAGGGGCTCTTACTTGGTGAAAGGCTGGTGCCTCCTGCTGATACTTTGCCCGATGCTCGGAGGTTCTTCGGGTTCCTCGGGCTCCCCGCCCCCGGTGCTTCCCAGTCCCCCATTATGCTTACCTAAGGGGCTTCCTACTTGGCAAAAAGTTGGTGTCTGGTATTCTTACCGTGCCCGCTCCCCGTAATATCCTCGAATTCCCCGGGTCCCTCGGGTTCCCCGCCCCCGGTGCCTCATATTCTTACGTTATTCGTTCCCCGGAGATTCCTCGGGTTTCCTGGGTTTCTCGGGCCCCCCGCCCCCGGTGCCTCGTATTCTCATGTTGCCCGTTCCTCCGAGGTTCCTCGGGTTCCCCAGCTTCCCTGGTCGGATAATTTGATTTGGTTCCTCGGGCTCCCCTCTCTTGCTTTTCCGGGTTCCCCCAGCATTGCAAAGCAACGCCAAGCAAGGCCAAACAACGCCGATCAGTGCAAATCAAAGCCAAGCAGCGCCAAGCCATGCCAAGCAATGCCGAGCAATGCTAGGCAATGCCACGCAATGCCAAGCGGCGCCAAGCAGTGCACAGCAATGCCGGGCAACGCCAAGCAAGGCCAAGCCATGCGCCAAGCGATGCGCCAAGCGATGCGCCCATGCCATAAGCTTTCCCCTAATTGCCGTCGCGCTGGGTTCATCTGGCGGAAGACCAGGAGGGGGAAAAACACACAGACACAATGAATCGTCGATTCCCCAGAGAATATGGGGAAATATGGGAAGTGGGGGGGGAGACAAAAACCCAGAAAATATCGGAAGATATGGGGAATATTTTCATTTGTGTGTATTTGTTTGTGTGTCCTGGGGCCCCTTCAGAAGAACGCAGGCCTATGCCGACTCGGAACAAATCGCGCCGGGTGTGCTCGCCACTTTCGGAGACCGCTCTGTTCCGGAACCGTCGAAAAAGACTCAGGTTGAAAACACGCTCCTGGGGAAGGGGCCGACCGAATACTCCAGAGGTTGCAGCAAGGACCAATACCGAGGCGGGAAGAAGGACCAATGTCGGAATCTCGTCGAGTCTCACATCGGGGCCACAGCGGCAACCGACTCATCTCGGGCCGGGCGAAAGAGGGGGATAACAAAGGGGGGGGTTGAGAATCAACTCACGTAGTTAATATTCCCGGCGACTTCCGGCGCCGGGAGGCGCCCATGTATCGAGGAGTGGGCCCCTGGGCCCCTCGGTGGGGCCGAAACCAGCTGCATGCAGCAGATTTCGTAACCCCCCCTTTCCCAATCCCCCCCCTTTCGTCTGGCCCGATCATCGGACCAGACATCTGCAAGCGGAGCTCGAACCGGAATCGGATCGGACAGCTATCCGGGAATCGGATCGATGTCGAGCCGGTACGGGATAAGGCGTCGGATCGGACCGCCTCGTCTCGGGGAGCCCTTCGGGCCACCACCCATGGCTTGCGAATCGACAGCCGTTGTCGACTCGCAGGAACTGAAGGGGCCCTGGGGCACACAAAATAAATAGACACAAATCCCAGGATTCCCCATATTTTCTCCTACTTTCTGGATTCTCGTCTTCCCCCCCGCTTCCCATATCTTCCCATGTTTTCTTGGAGAGCGACGATTCATTGTGTCTGTGTGTTTTTGCCCCTCCTGAAGCACTCAAGCTGCCGGAACTCTGGCGGGGGCAGAGGCGAGCGGCGCGCGGGCGCTGGGCCGGCGCGCAGGCGCGCAGGCGAGGGCGAGGGCACGCAAGGTCGCCGGTGTCCGCGGGCGGGTGCACTCCGGTCGCTCGGGGGCGTCCAAGACGGGGAGGCTGTGAGGGACAACGATAGCAACGATAGAGGGGGACTGTCAGAAGGGGGGACTGGCATAAGGGGGGGACTGCATCGACCTGGAATCGGCGACACATCGCCGATAGGTCGGCGATGGCCTCCGATGCTGAATCCGCACCTTCCTGGGCAGGTTGGGGCTATCGGGGCCCTATCGGCGGTGAAGGAGCGATCTGGGGGCTGATGCATCCCCCCCTAGGCGTATCCCCCCCTTATCGTTGCCCCCGAAGTTATATGGCAAATCATGGCCCGAGGCACGCACGCGGCCCAGTGGGGGGTCCAGGATGCGTATTGGAAGAAAAGCAGGGGCCAGGAAATCCGGGGAGATCTCATGTCCCTAGCCACGACATCCACCCCCGCCCCCCCCCCAGTCATCCATCACCCTCCTCTTGGCCGCCCCCGAATCCTCCTGCGCCCCTGAGCCGCGACAGACGTCAGGCCGCCTTCGGGCGGTCTCCGGTCACGTGCGAAACTCCACGAGGAATAGCGGCAGCGCCTGGAAGTCTCTGAAGACGGCGAAGATTCTCGGCTGATCCTGCACAGGGGCTTACACTCCCGCCCTCCCCTGCTTCTTCCCGGCTATGCCAAGGGGGGCTCGCAACTAGGAAGGTCGCTCAAAAATGTCCACACTCGTCCTTGACACTTCTCGACCCTCGAACCTCGATCCTCACAAGAAGCTGGCGACCACTCTGGTGGTGACCCCGCTTTTTTGTTGCAAATGTCGCGTCTGGGGCTCGAAGCGTCTTCGGCTGTCTCTTGGAATTAAGGGCTAAACACTGCAGCAGTAGCCGGGCCGGTCGGTCGGCTGCTTAGAGCGGTGGGGGTTCACACATCACTCATGGCAGCCTATACTAATATCGCGGGTTCGGTCTCCACCCGAATGTCAGCACGCTTCTCCACAACGCGCAGTCGAAAAATGACATTGCCAGCCTGCTTGTCAGAAAGTCTGCCATCCTGGAATGGACTCCCTCCCTCTTAGTCCTTTACTTTGCTTGTTCCTCGGGCTCGCCATTGTTCAGTTTCGACCGTCTGCGTCTTCTCGGCAGTGGTAGTTGAATTGTTTATCGTCGTAATCTGCTTCTTGCCGAGCACACATTCAGCCACAACTGGCCCCTGTGAAGTCCGAACCTCCGACTGCGACGCCAGCGAATTCATCCTGAGGACTGCCCCATACGCAAGCGACCTTCTCCTTGGACCATTGTGCTGTTCCATACACCGTGTCTCTCGGACTCCTGCGACTCCAATCGGGCGTGTTGAACTCACAAGCCACGAATACGCAGTTGCTCACAATGTAACCAAGCTCGTTGTCGAGACGCTCGAGCGACATACGCCAATCTGAGCTGGGAATCGAGTATTCCATCGGCACCGCCGAATAGTAGCAGCGACCCCCTTGTGACCACAGCATGTCGGTAAGACTCTCCAGTGACAGATCGCATGCCTGGCCTCAAAATTTGGACCTGCGACGCGCACCACTCAACATATTCGACAGAGTGCCTCGCAAAGTACGCCGGTACTGGTAAGTGTAGCTGCGTTTGTAAACCTTGGTCTTGGAGAGTGGCCCATCAGAGCGACGCGCATATTCCCCATGCTGGTCGCAAAACGCTTCCCGAAAGTATGGAAACAACGATGAGCTGTGTGCTTCTTCGACCGCCTCCGCCAAGCGATTGGCATCGACGTCCCTGATGCGCAAAAAAGGCACCTCTGCCACTTTTCTTCGCGACCACTGAGCTGTTCCATAAACCTCATAACAACCCTTTTTGTTCTTGGAAAAATCACTCGTGTTGAACTCAGCTGCCGGCAATACGCAATTGTCGAGCGAATACCCAAGGTTGTTGTCAAGCCGCTCCAGTGACATGCGCCAATGGGAATTCGGTACAACGCATTCCATCAGAACACCAGAATAAAAGCATCGGCCTTCTTGTCCGAGCAACATGTCAAACAGATCATTGGTTGTGAGTGTGCAATCGAATCCACAGGTGATGCCCCGTCTCCTCGCGCTCGCGGCCAGCGAAATAATTCCCCCACGAAAGGTGCGTTTATATTGATGGTTCGAATATTTAGCACATGCTGCGCATTGGGCTGTCAATCCAGAGCTCCGAGAAGAGTCCTTATAGAAATCACAAGACGTTTTATAGACGCCACAACTTCTGCACTTCCACTCGCCATCATCATTTTGTCCGCCTCAACAGCGCTTGGAAGCAATCCTAGTTCTGGCTGGCCCACGTGCAGTCTCAACCAGCCGCGTCAAGCAGTGCAGGTGGCCGTGCTCGTGGGTATCGAAATGACTGGCCGATTGCAATTGTGATGTAAAGGGTGTTTGGCACGGCTTGGAAACGGTGGTGAGCTGATGCCCCTGACTAAACAACGTTTTCCTGCCAGGGTGTGCGCACTGTGCGCATCTGCGCGCGCACATGCTGATCTTCAGACTCGTTGTTTCAGCATGCTGCTGCCTTCTGTTTGGCGACCTGCAATTTCTCAAGAGCAGAGCTCTAAAACGGGAACAGAAGGACATCAACTCGAGTCTGGTGAGACGGGCTTGGTGGGGGAACAGAACAAACAGCGCGAGTGCGGATGACCCCCCCCAGCTTTGCACAGGAATGGCTCAAGCTAACAAGAACGTGAGCCAAATTGGCTACGCACCTGTGGTGACCCCTCTTGGAATCGCCCCGGGACTGCTGCAAAACCCGCCCAGGCGGCACAAAAACTGTCTCCCCCCCCAGAGGCCTCCAAGAGGCCGGACAGAGGATCCAATAGAGGCCTCTGATAGCCGCAATCGTTTCAACGCAAACCCTTCATAATATACTACCCTGGCCCCGTAAACAAAGACTGCAATCAAAAACAAGACATGGGCATGCCCCAAAACAATCAACCGTGGGTCGAAAGATGCTCCACTCTCCGCTTTCCAACCAGATCTGTCCGCTCCGATCTTGCAAGCGTCCAAAGCAATTCAAGAAGCCCCCCGAACTGTCCCAAAGCAACCCCCGAGGCTCCCAACGGCACAAGATGCCTCCAAGACAACTCGAAGAGGGACTCACAGGCAGGACATCCGACGGACCACAGGGACTCTCCTCCCAGATAGCCCCAAGATCACCGACAGGCTACCAAGAGGCACATAGTGTGAATAATCACTTGCGCGCACCGGTACCAATTCCGAATGATTGGTTGACCCACCATGGGGCAATTCCGAAGCGATTGCGACGTAGATTGAGATCGCTGGTGGACTTCTTGAACTCACGGAAAAGCACTTGTAAGCAAGCGCCACACCAGTGAATCAAATCCGCCGACCCTTCGGCGTGTGTGAGGCGCTGTCGTCGTTGTCGTCGTCGTCGACAGCCCCAAGGAAATTGTCAAATTCCCTTGCTGATGGGGGGGAGAAGGGGGGGGGGGCGAGGAGCAAAAGGGGGTCGGGGGCCCCAGGGGGAGGAGCCGCGGGCCAGATTACCGCCACCCCAAGGGGGGGGAACAAAACGGGGGGTCGGGGGGAGGAGCCGCGGGCCAGATTACCGCCACCCCCGGGGTCTGGGGGGTCCCTTCTCCCAGGGGGGGGGGGGTTCTGGAGGGTCTTGGGGAAAGTCCCGTCTGTGGTGGGGTAGGGAAGTCCCCTGTGGAAAAAACGCAAGCAACGCCCCTCCGTAGTCCAGGCGGGCCTTGGGGGGGGCGGCAGCGGTGGTCCCTGGGGAGGTCCCGCTTCAGGGTCGGCGCACAGGCTGCAAGGCCTTGACAAAATGAACCAAATGTCGAACGCACTGCGGGTCAACCACGAGCCGACCATGAGCAAAGTGTGAGGCCAGTGTTATCGATGGATGGATGGGTGGACCCAACTGGCCGACCTCGGAAACACCGACCCCCCCCACATAACATCTCTTGGGGAGGGTGGTTTTGCTCCCGCCGCCTTCCGCCAAGCTTTCTTGTCTCCTCTTTTGGCATCTGGGAATCCCTGAGGGAGCTCGCATGAACCGCACCAGTAGCGCAGCGCGACGGAAGAGCAGTCGCTGCCGTGAGGGAGACGACACGGCGCGCGAAGGCGGCGTGGCGACAGGCCACGACCCCACCCCCGCGCACCCCCGCATATGTGGGGATGGCACAGCAGGGGCAGCCCCCCCGACCCCCTGGCGGGGAGAGGCGCGAAGGCCCCGCACTTTAGCGTAGCTTAAGTGACCCCCTTGGCGTTGGAACGCGCCAGGAGCGTTCACTAAATGTTAGTCCCTGGGAGGGTCATCCAAAATGAAGTCTCTCTCTGACGCCTGGCATGCTGCTGGCTGGCGGGCCTGAGCGGGGGCGAAGTCGAGGGAGGCAGGGGGCTCGTCGAGGCGGCGGCGTGGGCCACAGGCGTCAGTTTAGAGGCGGTAGCCTTCTTCGATTGGTTCCGCGCTCGTTCTGCTTCTTTGCCTGCTTCGTCTTCGCGCTGCCGCCCCTGCCACGGAACGCCAAGTTCTGCGCGTCATTGGCCGCCTTCGAACGCGTGGAGACGTCGAGCTGGGTCGCGACGCCCGCCGCTGCCAGCGCTCTATTGCGGCGCAACGTCTCGATCCGTGCCTTCGCCCAGGTTGTCCTCGACCCTTTTTCTACTTCTCCTTCTCGCCGCTCTTGACCTTGAAGCATCGCGTGGCCGTGAGCTTCTGGGTGACGTCTTGTGCCAGCTGCCCCGTCTGGAGGGGCGTCTCGACCGCCATCTCCGCCCCGTTCGCCACTGCCCCCTGCCGCGCCGCCGCCGGCGCCGCCTCCTGCTGGGCCTTCCGCCCCCACCGCGCAACAGAACACCGCGCGCGCCAGCGCGTCGGGCCTTTTCCCTGGCGGGTGGCCCAGGGAGGTCGTCCCATTTCCGTTGCATCCTCGCGCGCGTTGCGGCCCTCCTCCCCGTTGTGCGTCATCGCCTGGTAAAGCGCCATCTCCGCCTTGCTCTGCTTCTTGAGGTGGGAAGCAAAGATGTCGCCCCCGTGGGGGGCTCGCGCCACGCCCTCGCGCCGCGGCGCCAGTCTCGCCGGCGCCTTGCTGGGGGAAGCCGCGATGTCGTTGGTCTCGGCCCCTGCCTCCGCGGCCTTGGCCACGGCCGCGCTCCGCTCGCTGCCTCCCGCGGGGGCATGCGCCTCGCCGATCGGCGCGAAAATCTGGCGGCGCGGGGGAAGGCCGCTCAGCTGCAGAAAGCGCCGACGGAATCACTTGAGCCTGACTGGCGCCAGGATCAGACCTGCGCGCGTGTAATCTGTGGCGTCGGATCAGCGCGTCGCTCCTCGAGCGTAGTCTAGCGGTCTAGCGCAATGCTGGCAATGTTTCTGTTTGAGGCCATTGTCTGAAAGCGCCGGGGCCATCGTGTTCGCGTGGATCTGGCGGGCAGCAAGCTCATGATTAGCGAAGTCATTATCTCCCTGGATTTTTTAGCCGCGCGCGTCGCAATCCAGCCGCGCAACGGCGGTCTCGCCCGCCGCGTCCGCGGCCCCCCCCCCGAGCGGAGAGAACTCGTCTGAAGCGAAGAGGCTTGACCGATCTCAGCCACTTATGCCATGCCCGCGACAGCTCGGGGTGATCCCCGCGGAGAAAGAACCCGCGGCGCGCGTCCAGCTGCCCCTCGCCCTTGGGCGTCGCGCCAGAACATCTCGCGTCCTCCATCAGCGCGGCCCAGAGACCTGGCGGCCCCTTGCGGCCCGCCGTCGTGACGGGAAGCGCGCCG